ACATTTCCACAACTGGATGTAACAAGTAGACCTTCAAGATGGCAACTCAAGAAAGCAGACTGGACCACCTTTCAAACCTTGTGTTGTGAAAAATTTATGTCAGCTACCCAAGATAATCAGAACTCAATAGAAGACTTCACTCAGCAGTTAATCGCTATAGCAGATGAAACCATCCCAAAGACATCAACAAAACCACAACGAAAGACAAATCCCTGGTTTAATGAACAATGTAAAAAAGCTATTGAAACTCGGAAAAAAGCAGAACGTGCTTTTAATAAACATCCAACAACTACAAATTTTATCCATTTTAAAATTTGTAGAGCCCAAGCTCGCAGAACCCTAAATGAAGCAAAGAAACAAAGCTGGAAACAATTTGTATCCAGCTTAACTTACTATACTCCCATGAAGAAGATTTGGAACATGATCCGTAAAATGAAGGGAAAGGAAAATGGAACTCGCATACAACATATTATAAAACAAGGAATACTTCAAACAAAGGAAATGGACATAGCAAATACATTAGCTGAAGCCTTCGAAAAGAATTCATCAATAGAGAACTGCCTCCCAGCATTTCAAATCATACGAGCACAGCAGGAATGCAAAGAACTAAATTTTTATTCTGACAACAAAGAAGTATATAATCAACCTTTTAAAATTAAAGAATTAATAAATTCTTTAAAATGCTCACATGATACAGCCATTGGACCAGATAAAATCCATTACCAGTTTTTAAAACACTTACCATATAGTTCACTATGCCTCCTACTGGACGAGTTCAACAACATCTGGTCTTCGGGAAAAATTCCAGCTTCGTGGAAAGAAGCAACAGTAATAGCTATACCTAAACCAGGAAAAGACCACACTGATCCAAATAACTACAGACCAATTGCTCTGACCAGTTGTTTATGTAAAACGATGGAAAGAATGATTAACAACCGTCTTGTCTGGACACTAGAAAAAAAACAAACAACTAACTGACTACCAGTGTGGATTTAGACGTGGAAAGAGTACATTGGATCAGTTAATCCGACTAGAAACTTATATCAGAGATGGATTCATCAGAAAAGAACATGTTGTTGCTGTTTTCTTTGATTTAGAAAAAGCTTATGACACAACATGGAGATATGGAATTTTAAAAGATCTTCACCAAATGGGATTTAGAGGAAAACTTCCTACCTTCATTTCAAACTTTCTCACTAGAAGAAACTTCAGAGTCCAAGTGGGAAATTCCCTTTCAAATACCCACCAACAAGAACTCGGAGTTCCTCAAGGAAGTATACTCTCGGTCACACTCTTCAATATTAAAATAAATAGCATTGTGGAAATCATTGCTCCAAATATGTTCTGCAGCATCTACGTGGATGATTTATGTATCTGTTACAGAGGGAAGAACATGAATACAATTGAAAGGCAATTGCAGTTAAATATTCACAAAATTAACCAGTGGGCTGTCGAAAATGGTTTTAAGTTCTCTAAAACAAAAACTGTTTGTACACATTTTTGTATCCAGCGATCACTTCATCATGATCCAGAACTTTTTATCAATGGAAATATGATCAAAGTTGTTAAAGAAATCAAGTTTTTAGGTCTCCTTTTTGATAACAAAATGACTTTTATCCCTCATTTAAAATTTTTGAAAAACAAGTGCCTCAAAGCTATGAACATAATCAAAGTGTTGGCAAAAACAAATTGGGGTGCTGACTTAACTGTACTTTTACGATTGTACAGAGTACTCATTCGATCTCGTTTGGATTATGGAAGCATAATTTATGACTCTGCCAGGAAATCTTATAAACATATCCTCAATACAGTCCACCATCAAGGATTACGGCTTGCTTTAGGAGCATTCAGAACATCACCCGTTCAGAGTCTGTACATTGAAGCTAACGAACCCTCACTTCAAAATAGACGGCTGAAACTTTCATTACAATATGCTATCAAACTAAAGGCAAATAAGAATAACCCAGCTTATACTGCAGTTTTCGAACCTCAGTTTGTACAATTATACGAAAGTAAGCCAAAAACCATCAGACCATTTGGTTTACGTATCAATTCACACTTACAAAATCTAAATTTAAACCTGGACATTTTAAAACAAATACACTTCAACTCATTGCCTCCCTGGAATTTAAAGATGCCTATAATCAATATGGAGCTAGGACATCAGAAGAAAGGAGTTACTCATCCCAATATGTACAAACAACAATACCTGGATATCAGAACTCAATACTCTCAGCACATACCAATCTTCACAGATGGTTCAAAGATGGAAAGTAATGTAGCAGCAGCAGCAATGGTGACAGGGGAACAAAGTCATGGAATCAGTCTACCTAAAGAATGCTCCATATTCACAGCTGAAGCCCGCGCTTTACTTTTAGCATTGGAGTACATAGAAAATGCACAACAAAAGAAATCCATCATTTTCACAGACTCTAAATCATGCCTCCAAGTTATGGAATCTTCAACAAATGATCATCCTTTGATTGACAATATTTTAACTAAAGTTCACCAACTACAAAATCAGTTTTATCACATCATTTTTTGCTGGGTTCCTGGACATGTCGGGCTTTTAGGCAATGAGCGAGCTGATGCAGCTGCTAAAGATGCTTTGAAGCAAGTAATAAACAAATGCCAAATTCCTCCGTCAGAGATGAAACCTTTTATCAACGCTTACATTTTAAACAAGTGGCAAAAGGAATGGGATGAATTAGAAAACAATAAACTACATGAAATCCAACCTGAAGTTTCACACAGAATTTTAAGACATTTTAAGAATCGATTTGATCAAGTAGTTTTTACCAGATGCCGTATTGGACATACGAGAATTACACATGGATTTTTGCTCCAAGGTGAAAACCCCACTCAGTGTTTGTGCTGCAAAACTCCTATCACTGTAAAACATATTTTACTGGACTGTCCTGCTTTTACTGATTCCAGAAGGACTTTTTATGAAATGAACACTTTTAAGGACATTTTTGACAAAGTGGAACCAGAAAAGATTTTAGAATTTTTATCATGTATTAACACAAAAAATCTTATTTAATTTATGTTTTATTTTGTTTGTTGATTTTTAAATTGTATATTTATTGTTGAAAGATTCCTGCCATGAAGATAGCCTTGGTTGCTGACATGGCACTAAATAAAAAATACATTACATTACATTACATCATGACTACACTAAAAGTTAGTGATAATCTGAGGTCCAGTGTTAATTTCATCAACAGAAATTATTTTGACACAAACAGAAACTAGACAGGTCTGCTTCGCCAGTAATGGGACTGAATGAATGAACAGCGAAGTGCAGCAGATATAAATAAAGAGACATTTGGGTTAGTTTGTTGTTTTGACTACTTTTAATCTCGTCCTTTTTTCTACAACAATAATGCACTGTTCATGTTGCTAGAAAGGCATCCGCTGCTTAAAACTCATATGCCAGAGTAATTGGCGGTTCATTCCGCTGTGGTGACCCCTGACAAATCAGGGACTAAGTCGAAGGATAGTTAGTGAGTAATGCGATGTTCATTTATTAGATTAGCATATCACACATTTAGGGCTCTATTTTGACGATCCATGCGCAAAGCGCTGGGCGCAAACCCATTAATGGCGAGTCAGAATCCATTTTTGCTAATATAAGGATGGAAAAATCCGCTTTGCGCCATGGCGCATGGTCTAAAATGGTTGAGCTTATTTTCTTAATGAGTTATGGGTGTGTTTTGGGAATAAATCAGTCAGAGTCTCATCTCTCATTCCCTTTAAGAGTCAGTTGCGTCACGCCTTTGCGCATTTGCTATTTACATGGCGGACTTTGTAAGTGGAAAAACTGAACCCTTCATTAGAGAGAAAATAACAGTTAAACAGGGCATCTACAGCGCAAAAATAACAGATGAGTCTCCTCATTGTTTACTTTCGCTTTCACTCTCGTGCATAGGGAAACTTCGCACAGTCATCCATTAGCCTATAAATAATTTATTTTGTTTAACCGCAAAGATTTGTTTCAAAACTATGCACCCGCTCTTTTTTTTTTTTTGGTCATTGCGCCTTTGTTATGTGCAGTGTAAATGCAGACAATCGGATACGGGTCCCTTTTTAAAAGATAATGTAAGCAGGTTAGCACAAAAATCGGATACAGACACAAAATCGAAATTGACCAACATAATCTGCAGTGTAAATGCAGCCTAAATGCATTAGTGAATCACTTATTAAGTTAGATGCTTGTTGCCACCTACTGGTTCATTTGCTGTTAAATAGTTTTCCATAAGTCGCCAACAAATATTTATATTTTTAATTATCTTTACTAAAGAAATCTCAAAATAATATATCTAGCTATGCAGTTGAAGTCAGAATTATTAGCCCCCCTGAATTATTCTCCCCCTTTTTAAATTTTTTCCCCCAAATTCTGTTTAACGGAGAGAAGATTTTTTCAACACATTTCTGAACATAATAGTTTTAATAACTCATTTCTAATAACTGATTTATTTTATCTTTGCCATGATGACAGTAAATCATTTTTGACTAGATATTTTTCCAGACACTTTTCAAGACACTAAAATCCCATCGAAAAAAAAATTACTTAAAGGGGCTAATAATTTTGTCCCCAAAATGTTTTTTTTTTTATTAAAACTGCTTTTATTCTAGCCAAAATAAAACAAATAAGACTTTCTCCAGAAGAAAAAATATTTTCAGACAGACAAATTTCCTTGCACTGTTAAACATCATTTAGGAAAAATTCAAAAGGGAAAAAAAATTCAAAGGGGGGCTAATAACTCTGACTTTAACTGTATAGGTTTTTGTCATTATTGCAGTCTCCCAACTCACAGTTGCAAAACTAAATGAAGTCAGAGAAAGTTTTTGCAATATACAGTACATTTCATGCTCAATTGATATTGCCTGAAATGCTTCAATTAAAAGTTTCACTTTTCTAAAAAAACAATGTAACCCAACTCTTGGCTGAACATCGCTGGAATCCTCAGTAATGCAGTGTTGGCGTCTCTGTTTTCTACCCAGGTGGATTTGCCTTTCCTTGTGGAGCAGATTTCCAGCATGACCCGGAGAGCGTTCCTGCAGATGTTGAAACGCGAGCAGCTGACCCCAGAACAGCTGGAGTATGTTCAAGATGTAAGACGGCGGAGTAAGAATCGCGTGGCTGCGCAGCGCTGTCGCAAGAGGAAGTTAGACTGCATTTACCGTCTGGAAGGAGACATCAAGAAACTGGTATATGTTTGTTTTTACATACTGTTCATGTTTGGACCCCATTTACCCATGTTTTAGTTCATTTGTGATGGAATAAGCATAGAGGGATTTGGTTGATTTCTAATGTAAACATGTTTTTTTGAAGGTTTAGTGAAATTAAACAACATGCTGCATGCTCATTGTGTTAGTGATTTTAAATGAGTTTTAAGCAAGCTGTAACTTTGCGCAACAGCAATCCAGTTAGAAGAATCCAGCCTTTTAAGTCCACCAATCACAAGCATTTATCATGGATTAGTAACTAATAACACTAACTGTAACCATGCTATTGTGACAGAATTGCTTGCTATTCATTTTAAAATGTGTGTTATTAATGTAGATCTTGCATACTTACAGTATTTTAATCTAATGTTTGCTATCTTTTGTTACTTTAGATTTAAAAAATTATTAAAAGACATTTATTATTAATTTAGTTAATGTTTTAAAAAGAATACAAAAATATATTTTAGATTATGCTTTTAGTTTTTACTAAATAATAATAATAATAATAATAATATAGAGGTGTGAACCTATACTAGTCTCACGGTTTGGTTCGGTTACGATTATCATGCCTTCGGTTCATTTCGATATCTTGGTGCATCACGGTGCATTGACGATGCTTTCTATATACAGTGTTAAATTTTAGGGGTGAGGCTATAACAAGCTGTCTGTATAAACACACAGACACACAGCACCACTCTGTCTCTCATTCAAACACATACACAAACATAGACAGCACCAAACAAATAAACAAACACACACACACACGCGCACACAAACACTTAAGCCCTCGCAACAGGGAGAGCTTGCGCTGAGCGGAGCAGAAAACAAAAAAAAACGAAAAAAGAAGCACTTTTCCGACAGTCCTTTACTGAGAGCTCCTCTCAGCGCGAGCTCTCCTGGCTAAACACATATTGCGAGGGTTCAAACGGAGCAGTGCTCGTAATGTCGAGCGGAAAAAAAGAAAGACAGCTGTGAAACATAACCAGCTTTGTCTTTTTGTAGGAAACCCACTTTAGATCTTTTTAGGGTAAGAGGTTTTTGAGTTATTGCCGTCTATAACTGAATGTGTGTCAGCAATATCAAAAACAAAACTAACTGAACTGCGCTCATTTCTGGCGCGCCCCTGGATATACAGCGCCCTTAGCATTTGCCTATGGTGCCTATGCCATGGGCCGGCCCTGAGTTGGCTGAGTGTTGTAAATAATCGCGCTCACCTCCCTCGCGCATTGGAGATAAATGACGTCAGTACATAATAACCGGTTATGATTATTACTGAACTGATACCGAATTGTCCGCATCTTCATCGTGGTGCACTGAAGAAAAAATTAATTTTGACACCCCTATAATAATATTATAACTTTTTATTATTAATGTTTTTTCTGTTTTGTCACTTTTTTGGTTTATTAATTGTCAGTTTGTAGTTACTTGATTTAATGACAATTGTTAGAGTTTCTGTAATAAGCTAATAATTAACGTAAGAGGGATGTTTAAAATAACTGATTTACCAAAGGGTGCGTTTGTAACCAATTAATGTTATCAGTTAAACAATTTTTTAAAATTATTAATATATTTTTAAATTTTGCATAAAGGGCTGATCACCGAAAGCAAAGGTCTTAGAATGACCAAGACGCCACACTCAGTAGAACGTTCCATTGCAACAGCAATAGCCCCGGATTCTACCATTTTGGATTCAAAGCAATCGGCCATCTATTGGATCTTATTGCTGCTGCGATGGCAAGCAGCTGCTTTGTTTTTTGTTTATTTATTTAAAAAGCGCATTAAAGCTGAGATACAACCTAAAAGACGACAATACAACACTTACTATTACTATCATCAGCACTTTTAATAGTTTATTTTACAGACTTATAATATGCTGTTGTTCTATTGGAATTTTCATTCAAAAATGGACGCTGTGCCATCTAGTGGCTGTTTCCCAAATCTCACTAGAATGTCGCCTCATGGTGATTCTATGCTTTTTGCCGAAAGGGATTTTTGCGTTGAGAAGGGCATTTTTTGAATAGTTTACTAACGGCCACAAGTGTTTTTTGCGCTCTGCTTATGCACCCTGCGTGCATCACATTATGCCGATGTGCATTGTGTGCTCGCAATTGAAATAAAACTCAACCCTTAGCATAAAAGTCGCGTTACGTCAGGTCAGTCACATCTTTTTCATTTTTTAATCAAATGAAAGTGAGTTTTCAGTGAGTGTTTTCGTTTTGTAATCTAAATTTTTCTTTTAAGCGAAAAATATCTAGGGCTGGCATATTTATTTTATTATTTTTATGTAGTTAATTCTTTTTTCTATGCGATTGAAAATTCTGTATGCTGCTGTTCGCATGTTAATAAAATCAGTATATTAAAATGCAGTATCTAATGTGTCACAAAAAATGGACACGTCAATTCTTTTCTAAAATTAAGTAATATTTTAATAATAATCTGATAACGGTTAATATTCGGTTAACAAGCTGTTTTCGGTTGGTAAAATAAACCTAAATGAGCATCCTCATTATTTACCATTATTTCTTTAACAGTTAAACCTAAGCACACATTTCATTATTGTCATGTTAACAGTTTTATAAAAAAAGTGCAATTTCTAATATTGTTCACTTTCTTATATTGTTCAATTTCCTAATAGTTTACTCTCCGCTTTGTCATCCAAGATATTCATTTATTCTAGCTTTTGTTGAAAAGAAAATTACACTTAGTTTTTAAGAGTTTTTGACAGATTTGTCTCCATTTAGTGGTCTTTTGGGATCAACTTCCAAATTGCTGCTTCAAACGACTTTACATTGTAGGAGGATTATACAGTTTTAGCCCAAAAATGACCAGTCTGTTCGATGAGGAAGAACCAGAGTCAGAGATCCAATTAAAAAGAAAGTTTACTGAAGATAACAGAAGCCAGCTTCAACACTCGCAATGAGTCTGTAGGCTGCTCTGCTTGCAATCTCAAAACAACAGCAATTATACTTTCACATAACATCATTAAATCATTAACATATAATTACTACGACAGTTTAATTGAAGTAATTATCTATAGTTTGTTTCCAAACACTATAGTATTTGAGTATTTTTTCGTGTAATGTAATAGCTTATACAGTGTCTACCGCCACGATGACAGGCAAATATATTTTAGTTCAGTGGAAATTCAGTTCAGAAGAAGTTCAGTCTTCATAATGTAAGGATTATGCCCCACATATGGTTATTTTCTATTTATATCTTCTTTGAAATAGGGTATAAATCGCAAAAAATACAGAATTTCCCATTCAGTTTTTTACTTCCTGCCCTTTATCTGAATTTTGCACATCACATGAACCATGTGATTGAAAACAACCTGCACCGCTTGTGCAAGATTTCACACTGAATTTTAAATAAATTAATAATGAATAGGCCTACAAGAGTAGTTCTAGTGCGTGTGTGTATTTTTCCAGCCAAATGTTTTTGTCCATTGTTTTAACACTAAAGTTGCAAAAGTTACTTTGTCTGTCTGCCAGTGTTCAGGGTGTTTTCACACCTAGACTTTTGTCTTGTTTATCCAGTTAGCACGGTTCGTTTGACATATGTGATAATCTCCTGGTAATCGAGTGTCTCCCTTCCGGTCTTTAAATACGTCGTGCACCCTTCTCACCCCTCCCCACCGCATCCCCCTTGCTCTTCAGACACGTCACGTGCACTCTGTCAAAAATCACCAAACCACCACCCCCCCGACAGCTGAGCGGGATTCTGCCAAATAAATCGTGAAACTCAGACCAATTTGAGGAGAGTTTATTCACACATGACTTATTTTAGGTATTTTGGTCTATTTAGAATCTTTGCAGTGTGAAAGCGAACTGCACCAAGAGTAAAAAGCAACAATGTAATAATTTTAATCCCTGTTTCGGAACAACTGAATCGATTTACAGGTGTGAAAGCACCCTAATGCTGCGTTCACACCAGACGTGGAACGCGCGTCAATCGCGAGTGATTTACATGTTAAATCAATGCAAACGCGCGAATAGACATCCTGCGGCGCGATACGCGCGAATTGCGCAACGCGAATTATGTGAATTGTGAATTGAGCGTTTTGCGCGTTTGCCGCGCTTAATGCGCGTTTCACGTTAATCTCTCAAGTTCGAAAATCTGAACTTCAGCGGACATTCGCGCCGCGTTAACCAATCAGAAGCTTGCTCTTGTAGGGGCGTGATTGTGACGTAGAACCTGTTGATGGCGTCCCGGGGGAAATCCTCCAGGCGACACCGACAACAAGTCATCAAACTGGGCTTGGCTCTGTCAGAAGCACCACTGAAAGTCTCCATCATCCAGGTTCAGTTTCTGGAGGAGTTTATGAGCTCACAGAGCTGGATGCACCTCTGAAAGCATGTAGTGGATTCAGACACGGTCCTAAATGTATCGCTGTGTTTTTCAGTCTTCATAAACACATTAACACTGTTATTTTCTTAATAAAATCCATGTTAGCCCTATAGCTATGAAGCTAGAGTCACGGGGCAGACAGAAGCCCTGCCCATCACGCGAATCCGCGTCTGTTCTAAAGTGAATTTGACACGCGAATGAAGCGGATTTGACATGCGAATGAAGCGAGTAACCTCAAATGTTTGCGCGGCTATTTACTCACGAATAGCGCAATTTATCCGCGCGTTCCATGTCTGGTGTGAACACAGCATTAGACTTTCAACTGAAGGAAAAGCCAATTAAGATGAGCTAATATTTAAAGTTTGCAGCAGAATTTTTACTTCAATCTCAACATTGGTCACAAGCCAGTATCGATACTCACCGAAAGCAAGAACGTATTGTATTTCAGTATCGACATATCAATATATTTGGTAACACCATTAAGGAATGGTAATTGTTAAACAGAAATACTATATAAAAGTAGATTATTGGTGTGTTGGTATCTCCACAGAAATGCGAAAGGGAGAAACTGCTTCAAGACCACAACCAGCTGAAGCTCAGCATGGAGGACTTGCGTCAGAAGCTGTCAGGTCTGTGTCAGAGTCTCAGCCTTGACTCTTCACCGCAGTCCGAGCAACTGCAAGCACTGGTCAGGTACGTCTCCTCCGACTGTCCTACATCCATCCTCCTCACCCCCATGGCCTCCCCGAGCCTGGCTGGCCCAGAGCGGGACGCCCAAGCAAACGCCTCCCTGGATGCCTTTCTGGCAGAAACATGTCCTGAAGGAGACACCGTAGCACTCAGGTCTCCCTCTGCCTTCCTGGAAGAGCACGATCAGAGCACTGTTACAGATCCTGCTCTATGACGTACAAACAGATCAAAGCAGCCTGAGATTGGTCTGGGATTGGTCGTTACTCAGGAGCTTACCTTTCTGCTGCCGCCAGTTACACTTTTATGAGCATGACTTTCTTAATAGGTGCACTTTCGTAATGTTTCTAAAGTATGGATGTGACTCAGTTTTGCACTACTACTAGGAGTTTGTATGGAAATGCGACTAAGCCTTTTGCTCCTTGTTTGCTGTTACGTCGTATATTAGGGTTGTCATGATACTGGGATTCAATACTAATCGATACTGAAATTTTAAAAACGTCCATTTCTTGCTAACATTTGAGCTCTGTTAAGTACATTCTTAAACATCGCTGATTTGCCATTGTGTCCACGTGCTCAACAGAAATGACTGATTGGTTGTGAAGGTCATTTGTCTGCAGATCACTCGTTTGTCAGCTTATAGACAAACCAGCTGATCGACGTGACTTTGAAACACTCCAGTGTCCCTGTATCTGTGGTTACACTTAAACAGCGGTGAGTTCGGTGAGCTGATGGCCTTCACGGCCACAGTCATATCTGTTTACTTGAACACGTGAACACAATGGCAAATCAGCGCTGTTTAAGAATGTGTTCAACATCGCTCAAATGTTCGCAGTAAATGGACGTTTTCAGTAAAATTTCAGCATCAATTGACATCGAATTCCAGTATCGGATTCCAGTGTACCCAATCGTATAAGGGGTCATTCTTTTTATGTTGGATATTTTCAACTTTCTTTGGCTTTTCCTAAAGTGTCATTTCTGTCATTAATTACCCTCATGTCGTTCATAACCTTTGCTCATCTTCAGAGCAAAAATTACGATATTTTAAATCTGAGAGTTTTTTGACCATTCATAAAAACAGGGTTCCCATAATTTCATGAGCAGCAGTTTCAGGGATCTTTTTAAAGCACCACTTATTTTAAATCAAGCACCTTTGTAATTCATACCCTCATATATGTAGCAAAATGAAAGTCCTTACTGTACTTAACATTTCACTTGCACTTAATATTTACACTAAAAAGTCATTTTCAAATGTTTTTAATATTTTAAATATTCCATATTCAAAGAACTTTTATAAAATTGGTTAAATTAAGGAATTGTAAAATTCAAATGCGGTTTCTGAAATATGAATCAAATGTGCATTATTTGTCAGTGTTATTGTGCAAGATTTATGTGTAAGATTTTTATTGAAGATTTTCTCACTTTTTTCATTCTGATTTTGACAATTAAGTACAATTGTTGAAATAAAACCATATACAGATTTTATTTCAAATTTATTTCAAGCACTTTCAAGGATCTACTGTATGTTTGTTTTTAAGCACTAAGTAGTCCATGTGTCTGAAATTCAAGTACTTTTAAGTACTTTCAACAACCATGTAAATAGCAAGGGTCAAGAAACCCAGAGTCCAGATCAGGAATCAAAAACATCCTCAAAAACATTAGCAGTGGTGCAACTGTATTGTTTAATTAGGAATATTTTTTATGCAAAATAAATCAACGAATAACAACAAATAACTGCTCTGTCCCAATTTGCACACTGTCCTTCCTAAATAGTATTCAAAAATAGAAAAATATGTCCCCAATCACCTGATGGGTGTTCTAATTCAAAGTGCAGATGCGTATAATAACTGCTAATTTTACCCACAATGCATTGAATTCAGCTAGAACTATAACAATTGGTTTTACAACATTGTTAAAAAAAACTACAAATATGCTGGATGTACAAGACTGACGGTTGAGTGGAGAGGCTTCGATAAAGATGTTTCAATGAATGTTAAGTAATATCTAACTTACTGGAATTGTTTTTTTCAACCCAAGCTCATTCTGAAAACGTAGTCCCGCAGACGTTTCTGGAGAGCACGATTTACGTGGCCGGAGGTGTGCATGGTTGCGTTTAATTTTTTTTAAGAGAACGCTACGGGGCGGTTTGATGCCACTCCTCTTCGCGCTCGCCGGCTGACAGCTCACCTCTGTGTGGAGGGCTTTCCCGCCGCAACCAATTTGTCCAATTAGCTCGTCGTGTACGTTGGCGGAGTGGAGACCCGGAGGAGAGGTGACCGCGACGACCGGGTTCGAGTCTGGGGAAGAGCGGCTTCAGAAATCAAGTTAGACTATAACAGAATCCAAACAATAAAGTGAATGAGTTCATAACAGGGTGAGTATGTGGTGAAATCTGAAAACAGTCAAAATCAGACGAGGGCTTTTCTTTTACTGGACGGCATTTGTAAATCGTTGCTTGGGTTTAGGGAAACGTGCGGGCGGGCAGGTCAATCGGTAAAACCGGTTGGGTATAGGGGAGGAGGAGGGTGTGTCGGCCGATTGGCCGGTCGCCTAGTCAATCATTCAGTCAGTCGGGCAGGCAGTCACTCGACATCGGCCTCCGATGCTCTCAAGCAATCGTCTCTGTCGAAATGTTCATACATTTCAAACTTTGTTTGGTTGGATAAAAAGTTTTTTTTTTTTGTTTTTTCAAAACATTAACAACAAGTTTAACCTATAAAATATTGTGTAATCTGAATCCAACAGTGGAATGGGGTGGTGAAAATATGAAATATCTGTAAAAAGACTCGCGATCAAAACAATAGATAAATTAAATAAAGAATTGAACTTTTGGGATTTTAAGTTTTATTTTATTTATTGTTACATTGTCAACACTAAAAAGGCCAACCTTTTTTTTTACCCAAATATGTGTTTGCAAAATGGAGACATGAAAATGCTTCGCATAAAAGGAATGACCCGTGGATGAATTTCCAATCCTAGCATTAATTTTACTTACACTGCCACCCTGGACAATCTTTGTGATTCTCTTATTAATGTTTATGAGTTATGATTTCATTATGTAGGGCATACAGTATAATTACATTCCAGTGTAGCCTGGTACTTCTTTGGCATTGTCGGCATGAGAATTTCGTATTGAATATGCATCACTGTTTGTTTTCAAGTATTCATATATGCATATACAGTTGAAGTCAGAATTATTAGCACCCCTGTTTATTTTTTCCCCCAGTTTCTGTTTAACTGAGAGATTTTTCAACACATTTCTAAACATAATAGTTTTAATAATTCATTACTAATAACAGATTTATTTTATCTTTGTCATGATGACAGTAAAAAAAAATTTGACTACATTTTTTTCAAGACACTTCTGTACAGCTTAAAGTGACATTTAAAAGCTTAACTAGGTTAATAAGGTTAACTAGGCAGGTTAGGGTAATTAGGCAAGTTATTGTATAACGATGGTTTGTTCTGTAGACTATTGAGAAAAAAAATATAGATTAAAGGGGCTAATAATTTTGACATTAATATGGTTCATTAAAATTAAAAACTGCTTTTATTCTAGTCGAAAAACACACTGTGAAAATGTCCTTGCTCTGTTAATCATCATTTGAGAAATATATAAAAAATAGATAAATAAATAAAAGGGGGGCTAATAATTCTGACTGTCATAGTTAAAACAACATTTAAATAACTGCCATGTATATTTTATTTCACAAGTATGTAGGGTTTGTGAAAAATGTATTAAAGTACATGGATGCCGTTCACTTTTTGCTTGTTACAGTGAATTAAGTTTAGAAAAGGTCAGTTTCAAAGTCAACGTGTACTCAAAGTTGATCCTATTTACTTTCATTTTCCATTTCTAGTCTTACTGTGCATGATTTTTTAATAAATAATAATAATAATCTTTGAAATCACCTTATCGGTAGAAATTTAGTCTTTGTTTTCATCCTTCTTGTGCTAAAAATGTTTTTATTTTTGTACTGAGAATAAATTCCTGCTTTCCTTTTTTCCTCACCAAATATCCTACATGATTGTTAACATTATGAAAGTAAAATGAATGCTGTTTCATGTTGACTTCAATGCTTTGATAAATACTAATATTCATTTCAATGTAATATTTTGCTGTTTTAGTATCATTACTTGTGCCTTTTGTTGTTTTAACCCTGTAACCAAAATACTGTCATGTACACCTAGAATGCACTGTATAATTCACTATTTGTTTCAGATTTTGTAAAATGGTAGCAAATAAAATGTCAATAATGTATATCCCCCCACTTGTTGTGATTGCCAATAGTAATGTGTTGAGAGACTGATCAAATAAATCAAGCTTTTCAATTATTCAAGCACACAACATTCTCAGTGTAAGGCAAAGAATATCTCGGCTTTAAAAGTGCTTTTCTCTGGGGTCGCTGTTGAAGAGCTGATGCATATAATTGAGTGAGATACGAAGGTCATGGTAGGGTTTCATAAACACAGGGATTTCACAACCCTCTCTAAGGCTGCCACATGATTGCTGTCTTTCCCCGAGCTCTGTTTTAAATGTTTAGTTCATGGAAAGTGCAACTGTGGACCAGTGTTTACAATAAAAAGCTTATATTTTAGTATGTCAAGTTCACAAAACTAATCTAAAATGTGTACTTTCTGGAATGGAGTGTTGTTTAGTTTTGACAGAAGCCATTCAGCAAGATAAATGAATGTTAATTGTTAAATCCCTTTTTTTGTTTTGAGGTGATGGTAAAACTATCCAGCTTAGCCTGATAGACATAAGATAATTTGTTTGTTTATTTCATGTCAAAGTCAATGAAATTATATAAAAAGCAAATTTCAGCTAACAATGTGGATATTTAAGAAATAATGTCATCATTTACTCATCTTCAACTTGTTAAAAAATCTGCGTGTGTTTCTTTCTTATGAAGAATATATCTTGAAAAATACTAGTTGCTGGGACTCATTGACTTCCATTGTATTTTTCCTAATTGAAGTTGATGGGTCCCAGCAACCAGCATTCTTCAAAATATCTTCTTTTATGTTCATCAAAAGAAACTTTTAAATGATTGAAACCACAAGCGGGAGAGTAAATGAGGCAATTTTATTTTATATAACATGATTGTTCTTAGAATATACACTCCAAGAATGTTGTCCTAACGTTTTTTGGTAACACTTTGTTACACTATGAATGGTTTATTAAGCATTAGCATTAAGTTAATTCGTTATTTGTGAATCATTAACTCTACATTAATACAGTGGTGATTCTAGTTTAAATGGCACCCTGGGTGAACCACCCCAAACAGATGCCCCCCGTCCTCTCCAATTGCTACGCATCTGTTATCAATATACAATTGATATTCTAAATAAATAATAGAAATCAATCGTAAATGTAACTGGAGAACAATGTAAAGAAAGACTCAACTAGAGTGATCACTTAAATAATTATTTGCATCAATATTAATATTAATTGCTATTAATATTAGTGTTTCATTGCCGAGAAGGTGAATAACCGTGATTCACACCAGGAGCCGAGCAGCGGGTAAGGCAAGCGGGAATCGTTTTCTGCGTGCATGCGTCAGTTTGATTTCAACAGCGTTGTTTCGGTTGCACATAGAGAGTAACATGCTTGCGAGTGCAAAAGACAAAAATGCGAATGACCCCTAACATCTTTATTCTGGGATTTCCTCTCTAAATTAATATGCTTGCATAAAGTAAATGGTCTCTCAAAGCTTTTACTGGGGCTCGTTTTTTTTTTTACTCACGATCACCGTCTCCTTGTGCCGCCCTCCCAGCAAGATGCTGCCCTGGGCGATTGCCCGTATTGGTCATGCTTAAATTTTCCACTGCATTAATAGATGTTAGTATGCAATTTATAAATACAAATGCAATTAATGCTCTATTCTTGACTCATAAGCACATTTATAATGTGCTTAATTGTTGTATTTTCATACTTTATTACTTATTAATTGTTCATTATTAAATAAAATATTGCATTATTTACAAACCATTTGTATTTAAGAGTAGTTGGTGGCTTTTAGAATCATTCAGGGGTGCGTTTCCCGAACAACGACGTAACTCACGGCTGAACTATCATGGTATTATGCATGGTTTGGGAAAAGAACTATGTAGTGATGAATGTTTCCCAAGACGCATAGTTTCTCGCAGATCCATCACTTGAACCATGTTAGTTATAACATAAAACGCCCATAATGACGCTCTAAACGTGGCGGAGGAACTACTTCTTTACAGAAAAACCCTATCATATCTTTGTGCAAATTATATTGTTTTACACGAACACACATTTTAAATAAAACCCAATATTAGTTTTGGTTAAAACATGCACTCGTTTTCTATATTAACTGAAATATATGTAAATGGCACGTATATGTTTACTATACAAATATTAGTGAGAATGACATAACTCATTCTAAAACAAATCACTTACAAAAGCTAACACGTATTCTAATATCATATATAAATCAAAATGAAAAAATAAATACTAAGGCGATTTATTATAAAATTAAATTTAATATTTGTTATGTATTAGGAAACGAAAAAATTGTAATTTAATAATAGTATTAATAATACTAATGATGATCATGAGGATGATGATGATGATAATTATTATTTTATTATTATGTATTAGAAATGAAAAAAATATATAATTTAAAAATAATATTAATGATTATGATGATGTTGATGATAATGATAATAATAATAATAATAATAATAATAATAATAATTTG